AGCTTTCCCAAGGCAGACAAACTTAGAGTGGTTATAATCATCCGGGTTTAAATCACGCTCAAATTGATTAGATTTTGACGCAATATTTACACTGAAGCTCGCAGGCGGCTATGTAAGGGGCGTGACATTTCCCGACCAGGCGCCGAGTGGAGCCAATCACAACACACACTGGCCCAGCTAACCAATCACAGCACATTTCATATTTCAGAAGGCGGGCCTTCATTTGATACAGGAACTATTCGAGCCGTTCATGAAAGACTGGGGAGAGAGGTGTTGTAATAATGCAAAATATGTGAAAAATAATGTTTTTCGAACAACTTAGTATGAGAGCCTGTTCTAGTACTCCCCTAAAACAAAATCAAGACTTTGTAAAAGAGCATAATAGGACCCATTTAAAACAAGTGGTCAGCAAATAATCCAGACATTCGTGGGCCTGTCTGCTCCACACACACATACAGAACCCTGGACCTACAGCACACAACACTTCTTAATAACAGAGACATCAATTTATCTACACATTTACAATTGAGACGCATCAGAATTTACAATAAAAGAATTCATGGACCTACATATCTTAGGTAGCTCATTTTATTAGCCTTAAAAGAACAGTTCAGCCAAAATTACAATTCTGTCATTATTTATTCACCCTCATGTTGTTCCATTACGGGATTAAAACAATATCTCACAATTCTGACTTATTTCTAACAATGGCAAGTTTATATCTCACAATTTTGACTATTCTCAGAATTCTTAGTTTACATCTCGCAATTTAATTTTTTTCCCCCTCAGAATTCTGAATTTAGAGTCTTGCAATTCTGTTTTATTTTCTGCTACAGAATATAAAATTAAAAAAAGTGACCGCAACTTTCTCACAATTTTATCTTATTTTTTGCTCTTAATTGTGTTAACACACAAGTCAGACCTTTCTTCTCAGAATTCCTAATTATATCTCACAATTCCTAATTATATCTCACAACTCCGAATTTCTCAGAATTGCCAGAGTGGTGAGAAAGTTATGTATGGTTAACAAAATGTAAAAGGTATATAACATATTTATAATTATAATTGAACAATACCAGAGAATTGAACTGAACTGAAAAATTTTATACTGTTTATTAAGTACTGCTGGTATTGTCCAACAAAACAGAATTGTGAGATATACAACTTTTTAATTTTTTTTAATCATTTTTTGTACAATTTTTTAATCCCATCCTGGAACCAAGCTTCCATTAACATCTGAAGAATTTTCACCATAATCTTTTCTAGAAAGTAAAAAAAAAAAATTCCATGTGGTCTATACGGCTTGCACACTATATTCCAACTGAAGTCATACGAAGCTAATTTTTTAAGTGGCGATTCACTTAAAAGTCTTTCACAAATAAACTAGGCGTGGCAAATCAACCATTACAGAATCTGAACGTAAGTGAGATTTTAGAGCTTTGGAGAAGATTACCACTTTTATTTCTTTCAGGTTCTTGCACGAAACTATTGAATGAACTTGTAAAAGGGTTCATGTTTCATATGAACCGCTTTCATTGCGATCTTGAAGCTTGACAGACAAGGTCACTACAAATTGTCATTGTATGCGTTCCGGAAATGATTCACCAAAATTGTTCTACGATTAAAATAACAGCAGTAAAGTTTGAAGTGACATTAGGGTGAATAAATAACGACATTTTCATCATCAGGTGAACAATGCCCTCAGTGAACTTTACCGCCAAAATTTTGCGCAAATCTTTTCTAGACATAGATCTTCCACAGCGAGTGCATAAGGCGCAAAAGGGTCCACATTAAGAGTGGCAAATGTGCAATTATTACGATACTGCCTATCCCATTCTCACACTTTCAGATGGTACATAACCGTAGGGAATGAAAAGATCGGAGGGTTGGTGTTCTGCAGATTCTTCTTGCACCAATATGACACAGCTAAAAGACACCTTTGCTTAAATACTGTAGTGTCATTCATGGACGACGGTTTCGTTACTGGTCTGGCAATGATGTTTAGCTTTACAATTACGTCTTCCCCTGCGGCTTGACCTGCATCTTTCACAAAGTAAACTGCTACAAAATCCCAAGTATGCCATCCTCAACCTCAGGCATTTGATGCTAACTAAACAGCACAAAGAGCCAGAGCTTACAAAATGCATACTGTAAACACACATACACATTCGTCTTTAAACACTCACCTAAAAAACGAAGGAAAAAATGATTCTGAAAATGATTCAACAATGAACTGTAGAGGTCTGTTTGCATCTGCACTCATCACAACTCAACAACAACATATAAAGTTGCCACATATTTGCATCCCAAAAGTGTACACATATCTACATTTGTTCAGCTCACATGCTGTTTTACGTTGTTCGGGGACCGTTCGGTTCGGAAAAACAGGCTTTGATCTGTACGCAAAATTGAAACTCACGAACAGTCACCAATTTAATGAGATTTGCGAAATGAAATAGGCATGCATGAAAACCTGCGTGTGTTCACAGCAGAATCATGCCAATGGCGGCGTGTTATTGCACTCTATTTTTTTCGCCAACCTCCGGATTAGCTTGAGCATCCGCAGATACTGTAAACACACATACACATTCGTCTTTAAACACTCACCTAAAAAACGAAGGAAAAAATGATTCTGAAAATGATTCAACAATGAACTGTAGAGGTCTGTTTGCATCTGCACTCATCACAACTCAACAACAACATATAAAGTTGCCACATATTTGCATCCCAAAAGTGTACACATATCTACATTTGTTCAGCTCACATCTAGGCTACGTTGTCAGAAAGTGCTACGACTTTAAAACCACCGCATGCTGTTTTACGTTGTTCGGGGACCGTTCGGTTCGGAAAAACAGGCTTTGATCTGTACGCAAAATTGAAACTCACGAACAGTCACCAATTTAATGAGATTTGCGAAATGAAATAGGCATGCATGAAAACCTGCGTGTGTTCACAGCAGAATCATGCCAATGGCGGCGTGTTATTGCACTCTATTTTTTTCGCCAACCTCCGGATGAGCTTGAGCATCCGCAGATATACATCAGCCTCCACATTCATTGCCCAAGCAAATGGTCCTGTAACACCCAAGTCTATCGAAGCTTAAAGCTTACTTGTTCACTTAGTGTGTATATATTTATATAATTATATCTTGACTAAATCGTATAGGAGCCACAAAGACTAAGTTCGCTTAGGCGCAACTCTGTCAGGTTAAGATGGAAAGTACTTGAAGGTAGATGAGTAGAAAAACGATACATCGAAAATGAAAGAAAGGTTTGGTTTTAAGCTTCAGCAGCTGTATGTACTTGAGTCATAATCCCTCGCCGCTGTGCTCAAAGGAATTGTCTATACACATAAGTTAGTTTTCCGATTGTTTCAAATACAATGCATACTGAACAGTATGGGGCCTCAGCCTGGCTGTTCAAGCCCCAAATAAATAAAAACAACACACTTATAAAGGCTTGGAAAAAAAACATTAAAATAAAATAAATGAAGTGCTCACATATTTAGATAAAAAGGATTAAATAGAAAAGAATGCATCCAAAATGCCGCGGCTCTAGTTGACGACGCTGTGTCAAGAACCTGTAGCACACTAATACCACCCCGATCGGGCCCCGCTCCCCCAAACCACGTCTCTCATACTATGGTCTCGTCTGCTGTCTTTTTCAGCAGCTTTGTGGAAAGCAAGGAATGCTGGGTAGAGTGTGCACCCTTGGTGTCAGGAATGAGCAAGAGGACTTTCTGATTGGTTCGTCTCCACTCCGAGTACAACTGACAGTGGTAGCGGAATGAGACCTGCAAAACAAGGACAATTTTTCACACTTTTGGTTTAAGCACCAAGTCCTAGAAATTAAAATGGTAAATTTTTGTGAAAAATATATCTGGGTAACATTTCCCACCAAAATGAGAAGAAAAACTATGAAATAAGAAATTATAAGAACATTCTCTCCACTCTCCAATTCTCATTACCAGAATATAACACACAATTTTTTGTAATAAATTCAGCATAAACTTAAGGTGGTCCAAAAAAATATTACTATGTAATATTTTTACAAATTTACAATTTTTACAAACTTACAATTTTTTTTTAATTTTATATTTTTTTCTATTTAGCGCCCAAACTCTGGAACAATCTGCCAAACATTGTTCGGGAGGCAGACACACTCTGTCAGTTTAAATCTAGATTAAAGACCCATCTCTTTAACCTGGCTTACACATAACACACTAACACATTTCTAATATGTTCCATTAGGGAAGTCGTGGCCTAATGGTTAGAGTCGGACTTGTAACCCAAAGGTTGTGAGTTCGGGTCCGTCAGGGATTGTAGGTGGGGGGAGTGAATGTACAGCGCTCTCTTCCACCTTCAATACCACGACTGAGGTGCCCTTGAGCAAGGCACCGAACCCCCAACTGCTCCCCGGGCGCTGCAGCATAACTGCTGCATAACTGCATAACACACCCGGAGCCCACTGCTCCAGGGTGCGTGTTCACTGCTGTGTGTGTGCACTTAGGATGGGTTAAATGCAGAGCACTAATTCCTAGTATGGGTAACCATACTTGGCCACATGTCACTTCAATTCACTAATATTCAAATCCGTTAAAGGATTGTTAGGCTGCATTAATTAGGTCAAATGGAACCGCGAACACTTCCCATTACACCCAATGTTCTTGTTACATTGTAAGAAGAATGTCATCTACGCTAATATTAGTCTGTTTTTTTTTCTTATTTCGAGGTCACCGTAGCCACCAGATCCAGTCCGTATCGAGTCCAGATGGTGGATCAGCACCTAGAGATGACCTGTACATCCCTGAATGTCAGCGGAGACTAGAACAACTAGATGAGCCCCAGACACTGATCCCCAGTGAAGATCTTGTCTCCTAGATGGCCATCGGGACAAGACCACAGGAACCAGCCTGGAACAATCTGCTGGTTCGTCTGGCCAGAGAACTGGCCTGAGCCTGGTTTCTCCGAAGGTTTTTTTGTCCATTCTCTCACCGATGGAGTTTTGGGTCCTTGCCTCTGTCACCTCTGGCTTGCTTAGTTGGGGAACACGTAATTATTTTCCAGCGACATCACTGAATTCAATGATTAACTAATTTTCCTATTTGATACTGTAAAGCTGCTTTGACAGTCTGTATTTGTTAAAACCACTATATAAATAAAGGTGACTTGACTTAAACATTTTACTTTTTTATGAACTATAGTAATTTTTTGCATTATGGTAATGAGAATCAGGTTTATTTTTTGCATTGTGGTAATGAGTATGGGATTTATTTGCATTACGGCAATGAAAATGTGATTTTTCTGTCATTACGTTATGAAAATTATATAGTTTTTGCATTACACTTGTGAAAACAAGATTTCTTTGCATCACAGTAAAGAGAACCAGATTTTCTGCATTGCAGTATTGAGAATGAGATTTTTCCATTACCAAATCTTTTTAACACAGCAGCGAGGAGGACAGTTTACACTTTAATGGCGCTTATCCACTGCACGGTACGGCTCAGTACGGTTCACTTTTGGGGGGGGGGGGGGGATTCCACTGGGTACAGTACCTGGTACTTTTTTTAGTACCACCTCGGTTGAGGTTCCAAGTGAACCGTACCGTTACCAAAACGTGACGTGTAAACTCTGCAGATCACGGATTGGCCGGAGAGAATCGTCACTACCTGTGTCACTGCACTTGCGACACAAATACAACAGAACCTGACGATTTAAATCAGCACAGCCAGCAAAGGATCGAACGTAACTGTTTTGAACAAGCGCACCTTTTTCCTACAACCAAAATGTGGCTATTTCGTTGCTGGTACTTTTTTTAGTACCACCTCGGTTGAGGTTCCAAGTGAACCGTACCGTTACCAAAACGTGACGTGTAAACTCTGCAGATCACGGATTGGCCGGAGAGAATCGTCACTACCTGCGTCACTGAACTTGCGACACAAATACAACAGAACCGCTAGATTTAAATCAGCACAGCCAGCAAAGGATCGAACGTAACTGTTTTGAACAAGCGCACCTTTTTCCTACAACCAAAATGTGGCTATTTCGTTGTCTGTTGAGGAAGTATAGACGTTACCTCACGTTGATAGCAGAGGAGCAGATCCAGCGAGAGCTTGATGGGGCGACGCGAAATAAAAACGTTTTTCAGGAGTCGCGGCAATAGAGGCAGCGCAACTATAACGACATGTGAATAATCCCGCCCACACTAAAGCGGTACTGAACTGCAGTGGACAGACGAGAAACCCCAAGCCGAGCCGTGCCGAGCCGTGCCGTTCCGTACTGAGCCGTGCCGAGCCGAGTCGAGTCGTACCACGCAGTGGAAAAGCGCCATAAAATAGCGGTTACCATTAGGGCTGTGCAATTAATCGCATGCGACTGTCATGTGCATGTCGTCAGTAAAGCCGGTTCTGTGATTAGTAGTAAATCTCCATCACATGCTTTCAGATGGAGCGGCATTTAATACACAGAGCCGTAGTTCGCTGACAAGCTGAGAAAGAGTTTTTGCCAATGATGATAAATTAAACTTTGTTTTTTTTTTTCTTAATTTAATTACGTTTAGATTTATTTTTGACATTTTGTCTTTATAGCCGTGCCGAGCCGTGCCGTTCCGTACTGAGCCGTGCCGAGCCGAGTCGAGTCGTACCACGCAGTGGAAAAGCGCCATAAAATAGCGGTTACCATTAGGGCTGTGCAATTAATCGCATGCGACTGTCATGTGCATGTCGTCAGTAAAGCCGGTTCTGTGATTAGTAGTAAATCTCCATCACATGCTTTCAGATGGAGCCGCATTTAATACACAGAGCCGTAGTTCGCTGACAAGCTGAGAAAGAGTTTTTGCCAATGATGGTAAATTAAACTTTGTTTTTTTTTTCTTAATTTAATTACGTTTAGATTTATTTTTGACATTTTGTCTTTATTGAGATAGGATAATGTAGAGTAAGACAGGAAGTGAACTGGGAGAGAGAAGAGGGTGGGACCGGGAAAGGTCCTTGAGCCAAGATTCGAACTCGGGACACCTGCAATGCAATGGCATTATATGAAAGCACACTGCTCACTAGGCTATCAGCGCGACATTATTAAACACGTCTAACACAATTAACATAAAGCATTATTTTTATTGGGGGGGGGGGGGAGGTGTTCAGACATTATTTGAACGTAAATGAGATTTCAGAGCTTCTGGAAAGATTACCACTTTCATTTCATTCTTGCTCAAAACTATTGTATGGTCGATTGTTTTAGGATTAAAATATCATTACTCAAGTTTGGAGTGACATAGGTAAGTAAATAATGGCATTTTCATTGTCAGGCGAACGATTCCTTTAGTAAACTTTACCGCCTTGTTTGCGCAAATCACAAAAAATACCTAGAACTTCCACAGAAAGTGCATAAGGTGCAAAAGGGCCTTTATAAGAGTGGCAAATGTGCAATTTTTATGATATAATGGTAATGAGAATGAGGTTTTTTTGCATTTTGGTAAAGAGAACACAATTAACTTAATTATTTTTTTTCCTTTTGATTTTTGGAGTGAAATATGACCCAGACATGTTCAGGTAAGTCTTTGTGTGATTCCCCTTAAATGAATTTAAGCATTCTGTTTCAGAATAAAAATTTTAATCTGCATTTGATGGATTGTAATGCAGTACCAGTGTCCAGAGGACGTAGATGGTGAAGAGTGCGATGGTCAGAGCGATGAGGCCAACTGCCTCCAGGCGACTGTTGAAGTGCAGGTGGTCCTGTGCCCCCCGTAGACACAGCCAGCCTGAGATGGCTGCCAGGGGCGTTATAAACAGGAAGCACACCATGTCACAGAAGAGGGTGCGCTTCTCATTCCGGGGGCCCGGGTCCCTGAGCCACTATTGAAAGATGATGTGAGGATTAGTGATGAAGAATAGATAGACAATTTGCCCGAATACCAATAATTACATGTTATGGCCAGTAATCAATTTCACAGTCAACATTCTTAGTAAAGATCAGTTTGAACAATATTTTTACCACTTCAACTTAATTTGCTATCAATATTGGGTCTACATATAAGAGTACTATTCAACGGTAAGGTTGACTGACTTAAATCTAATGTTTGGATAATTTCTTAAATCAATTAGTCATGACAAAACAAAGATGAAAATTGATTAAATAAAAGACAAAAACATTGCATAAATAATGACAGCAGTAATGATAACAATGCCTTGCATCGTATTTGCTGAATATGAAATCCAATATTTGTTTCTTATAATTATTATGATATAAAATATGAAAGCATTTACATTTCATAGCATTTTTGCTTTCAACAACGATTTGTAAGGTGAGGAAATCTTGTACTTTCCCTTAGATATATTAAAAAAACTGCCTTAAAGACATGATTTCTACCTTCCTGAGCCAGGTTACAACTATTTGGTCAATTCTCAGTCGATTTTATGAATGATTCTGAAGACATTATTTTATAACTAATCCTGATTTCAAGGATAAAGTTATCCTAGCAAACATGACCCAGATGTTTTCTGCTGCATCTGTGGATGTTTTACTGCACCCAAACAGCAACAGAAAATAACAGATTTTGTGAAAAAAGAAAAACAAACTTCTTTGTGTATAAACTTGTGTATTTGAGTGTATTGTGTATATTGAGTCTTTCAACATATTTTCTCACTCCTTTGCAGACTGTCAGTTAAAGAATATATTTTGAATACTTATTACCACTAAACCAAACTTTTGACTGCTTCTGATAAGTGCATTTAAGCTAATACATAATATAGGAAATCAGATGTATTTAGAGCCAGAATCATTAAATTACATTAAAAGACTCTATTATTAATTAAAACAAATGAATTCATTTTAAATCTTTACCAATCTTTGCTACCATCCTTCAAACTACTAGGTTTTACCCAATTGTCAGCAAGAAGTTTTTCATCATTTAAAATATTATACAATTTTGTATGATCATTTTTTTGATATTTCAGTTTTTCTTTTTTAATAAATCTGCAAAAATGTCAACAATTCTGTGTTTTTCTGTCAATATGGGGTGCTGTGTGTACATTAATGAGGAAAAAATGTAACTTAAATGATTTTAGCAAATGGCTGCAATATAACAAAGAGTGAAAAATTTAAGGGGGTCTGAATACTTTCCGTACCCACTGTATATTATTATATATTATTTTATTGGGTTGAATTTTTAGATAAATATGTTTCGCTGAATGACAATGGAACATTATATCACCCACACTTTTGACATTTTAGTGTCACAAGTTATTTAAAAGCAATAAAGTTGACGCTTGCATTTACTTTGCTTTCTATGTATATGAAATCACTTATATAAATTTAATTTGATACTCATGTCTCGTCTTTGACCCAAATACAATAAATTATGCCATGTAAGCACACACGCAAGTAAATGTCCAATAGCAAAGCGGGGCCGAGCCATGCAGACGAGGCTAAAGGCATTGACCTTTGTTACCTCTGTGAGGGGTCGGGGCCGGCGCTCTATGGTAAACTCAGTGTGGCACAGCTCACAGTAGCTGGTGTTAGAGGAGGACAGCCACTTCTCCAGGCAGCTCTTGTGGACCGTGCCCAATGTGCCGGTGCAGTCGCATGGGGAGAGAAGCCCCTCGCTATTGCACACATCTTGACCCTCGTGGCAGATCCGACAAATCGGCCGATCGCTAACAGAGAAGGAAGTTAATAGCTTTGCCTTTAGGCAACTGGAATATACATTGCCTGAAATTGAAAATGTTGTTCAGATTTGTCTACCTCTGGGTGCCCAGGGCTTTGATAACAGTAGATAGTAGACGTCCATCTTTGGCCGTGACCTGGGTGACGTACTGGGCCCGGCGGTTGTCAGCCTCCTCCACGGTTTTAGACAGGGCAGCGTTGCCAGTGCAGTCGCACAGGGAGCCTGGGAGGTGGCAACACTCCCCTGTGGTCATTTCGGGGCCGTCCAGGAGGGCGGGGGGCAGGGGAGCACCGGGGGGAATCAGGGAGCAGCCTTGCTCCCACACCTCAAGTCACAAAGACCCTACCACTGCAGAGAGGAGGAACATTTACAATGGTTACATTAGGGAAATTTCGACAGCGAAAATGGTCAACTGTCAACTGGCAATGAAGCAACGCACCACACAGAAGACACTGTCAAACTGCACACTCATGTTACCAACTGTCATGTTTCCTCCTTTTCTTAAAAAGAGTTACAGTGAGACGCTTAAAATGGAAGTGCATGTGGCCAATTTGTAAACTAAGATAAACTAATCTAAGATAAGACTCACCATTTTAATAACATTCAAAAAAGCGTAAAAACACAAATATGTGTAAAGTTGCATTCGATTTTGTTGCAGATACATCATTGTAAACCCTAAAATTGCTGTAAAAATAATGGTTTAAATAGCTTTACAGTTTATTTAAGTGCTTTTATAATAATAAGATTGAACATTTCTGCTTTTAAATCATCCAAAACCATCCCATTTTCTACCATTGTAAAGTTCTTACTATAAGCATGATTTTTGCTTTGTCTTTTTTAATCATTATTTTTCAAGTCAAAATCTCTTTTTTGTGACAATCAACAGTTTGCCACAAATGCATTAGAGCTTAATTTGTACTTTAAAAATACATATTTAAATAAATATTTGCCATCTACAGTTCATTTTTGCGGCAATGTTTTACTTTTGCTTCTTTCCAAATATAAAATACAATGTGGCACACATTTATGTAAAATACAAAATAGTGTGTGTATACAGTGGTGGCAGCATCATGCTGTGGGGGTGTTTTTCAGCTGCAGGGACAGGATGACTGGTTGCAATCGAGGGAAAGATGAGGGATATCCTGGACGAAAACCTTCTCCAGAGTGCTCAGGACCTCGACTGGGCCGAAGGTTTACCTTCCAACAAGACAATGACCTTAAGCACACAGCTAAAATAACGAAGGAGTGGCTTCACAACAACTCTGTGACTGTTCTTGAATGGCCCAGCCAGAGCCCTGACTTAAACCCAATTGAGCATCTCTGGAGAGACCTAAAAATGGCTGTCCACCATCGTTTACCATCCAACCTGACAGAACTGGAGAGGATCTGCAAGGAGGAATGGCAGAGGATCCCCAAATCCAGGTGTGAAAAACTTGTTGCATCTTTCCCAAAAAGACTCATGGCTGTATTAGATCAAAAGGGTGCTTCTACTAAATACTGAGCAAAGGGTCTGAATACTTAGGACCATGTGATATTTCAGTTTTTCTTTTTTAATAAATCTGCAAAAATGTCAACAATTCTGTGTTTTTCTGTCAATATGGGGTGCTGTGTGTACATTAATGAGGAAAAAAAATGAACTTAAATGATTTTAGCAAATGGCTGCAATATAACAAAGAGTGAAAAATTTAAGGGGGTCTGAATACTTTCCGTACCCACTGTATATATATATATACACACACACACACAAAGAATTGTGCATTATATTCCAAGTTTTGTATAAGAAATTATTTTAAATCAAAAACTTGATTTTGACTTATTTCCGAGCTTGACAGCTGTAACTACTACAAGCTTGCAATGAATGAAAAAGAGTATCTTGGACATTCTGCATAACGTCTCCTTTTGTGTTCCACAGATTGGTTTCCACAGGTTTGAAACAAGAAGAGGATTCGTTTAACATAATATATCATTATAATACAAAAACAAGCATATTGAGGTTAACTTAGTCTATTAACTGAGCAATACACTAAAGAAAACCTAGTGAGCTGCCATTAACACAGCATTTTTGGGCAGTGTATGTTTCAAAACATTATTTTACACATCTTTTGATGAATGGCAAGTCGCTGCATTATTAAATCTAGATATGATCTACTGATCAAACCAACAACATATAACCTTTACTAGCATAGGGATAGACGGACAGAAACAGAGATGAGAGAATAACCAGCATAAATGCACTGCCATTTTACATGAAATATGAAATCCTGTGCAGCCATAACATCAGTCCACATTTAAACCATCTGGTCTGATCTGATCTATCAAGCTGTCTGACACTAGTCTAGGGTGGGCCTTTGGCACACAACACAAGCTACAAATTAAACATCAGTTTCCTCCAATATAGCGCTAAATGTTTCTTAGATATTCGTTTAAACCGAAAACAACCCGATTTGATACGTATTAAGACGAAGTCAGAGTGAATGTGGTAATGCAGCTGCATTAGGCTGCTAGTAACATTAGCCATGTAGCAAAATATGCCATCAAAGACTGGGATTAGAGATTACAACATCATTTATTGTCGTCTAATCTTACCTTCTGGTTTTCCATGCTGAACTGCTGCCTTTAAGGGTGAATTCCTTTTAAAAGTGACGCTTGTTTGCAAACGGTAAGGTAAAAGTACAAGCCTTGTTTTGGGTTTGATCCTTCCAGCAGACGACTCGGCTCAGCCTCCGATTAGCGCCGTGTACGATAAGAGCGCAGAGGGAGGCGCTTCTCTACGCAGCGCTGCTTCGGAATGTTCCTAAACAGCTTTCGTGAATAGCCATCATCCGAGAAGTGCCTATTGTTGTTATTTCTAAGGACTGTTCACTGCTCATGTGAGGCTTTATGCGTTGTGATGTTAATATGGTTTTGATTTTTTAATAATTGTTTAACTTAAATACTTGCCTATTTAGTCTTTATTTTTAGCAATACTGTACAAAATGGGCATATTTACGCGTAACGCAATGTGATATTTCATTTTTCAGTTTTGAGCTTAGCCTAAAATACACTTTTAATCACTTTAGTTCCTCCTAGAAAATTGTTTTAGTGTAATCTGAAAATACTTACTTTTTAAATTATGTCTTTAATAAAAAAAATAATAAATAGGTTTTTAGTTTTGTGTACGTTTATCCCATTACCAGATCAAGAATGTCACTCAGTTTAATATTTCACTTTTGTGCATATAAATTTAAAAAAATTCTAATTTTGACCAAATTGTTTAAGAAATGTAATTTGTTTTCTTTGATATGACATTTTGCAACTGTGAACAAAGTTACTGTTTTTGAATGTCTTAATATTTTGTTTTTAATTTTGTATAAATTTCTCCCCTTTTTTCTCATTTATATCAAACTAATGTCACTGAATGTTTAGAATCACTTTTTTTTTTAAAGCAAACAAATTGAAAAAGATTATGCTTAACCTAATAATTTATTAAGATTTCATTTTTGTGCTTAAACACTTTTGTCTTTTATTTGTAACTATTTATTAAGAAAAGTCATCTATCATTTAAAAAAAAGTTAAAAAAAATATTTAAAGTTTTTAATTTTGTGTTTAAGCAAATTAATTCCCCTTCTTTTGTATTTTTGAGATTTTAAGGAGGTAATTTTAAGAAGGTAATTTAACCCTTAACTACTTAACCTGGCATATTCCTTTAAAGAGCTTGTGACATGGAAACTAAATAGATCGCTTGAGTCATACCAACCATGCAACACATGACACCTATTCTAGGTACAGATTCAGACATACATGTCATATTGTGCAATATGGAGTCCAAAACTAAAAATCACAACTGCAATTGTGACAGTAATTTGGTTTATTTTCCATTTTAATGTAACCTGATAAAAGGCAAAACAACTGTTGTGACTTCATGGATGTGTAAATGTCACATAACCACACTCGAAAAAGGCATCTTAATCACAGTATGGGAAAACATAAGGCATTTTCAAACTAGCCGTATGACAGTCAAACAATCCAATATATATGGACTTTCACAGACCGGTGAAACAACTGACCATCTAAAACACTGCGCACCATTGCATTTTCCCACTGAAGAGCTATAATACCTCAGCAATGCAATGAATAGTTTACATATACATATACATATACACACATATATATATATATATATATATATATATATATACACATATACATATACACATACACATATATATATATATACACATATACATATACACATACACATATATATATATATACACATATACATATACACATACACATATATATATATATACACATATACATATACACATACACATATATATAATAACTGTTATTTGAATAATTTCTCAATTCATAACTGCTATATATATGGCAATCTGAACACGTTGATCAAATTGCACAACTTCACACCCATCAGCCCTGGCGTAAAATATTGCAGGATAGGACTAGAGGTGTGACGCGTGAAATGTTTACGAATTGAAATAAAGATGACAGCAGCCCTCCTTTGGTATCCGCACGATCAAAGGCAAATCCGATTTTTGTTTTCAAAAAAACTTGCCCTTTTATCCCAAGTCAGGGATCTGGCTCAACAGACGGTGGGCGTTTAGTGTGGATCCCAGAGAATAACCATCAGAGGAAGCCGAAGACACACTGATCCCTCACCATCCCTTTTCCACAGGAGCGGATCACACGATCAGCGCCCAAATAATCACTTCCGAGGAAAACGTGAATTCAGACAGTGGATAATAGTAAAGAAAAAAAAAAATAGGGACAAACAAACAAGAACCCCCCCAAAACAAGGAAAAGGAATGTTACGTCACGCTTCTAAGGGACGTCTAAAATTAGCGTGGAAATCACAACGAGGTAAAAAGAGGAAACAGCCATAGCTATAGCACAACACACAGGAGCAAAGCCAAGATAAATAGAGGGGAACTGAAGCCCAAGGGTGGGGGTAGAGCTGGGGGAAGTGGGGTCACAGGTTCTGACAGCACTGAAATTTGTTGCCCTTTAAACCATCGGTAGTGGGCGGCACGCTAATGTCCACTACGTTGTTGCCAGGAGATTCGTCGTGCATGGACCTGTCGGCGATCTGCTTCTGTGACACGATCCGATAGATTTCTGTAACAAAAAGTCGTGACATGTTAAGAGACTTTTAGTTTGAGACGCACAATGGGAATGTAGTGTCACTACACATTAAGGTGCACATTAAAGCTGTTCGATGGCCAAAATCATTGAAAATAATTTCTATAGGAATCCACACGATCAATAATTTCGCAAAAGGACGAAATATTTCCCCTCACAGATTTAGCATAGAGTTCACATTTTTCACCGGGACGAATTCTTTGGCTTGCAGAAAAATTCAATAATTTCAACAGGAATGCATGTGATCAGGAATTTCGTGTAATATTTCCCCATGCAGATTTCGCAACAGGTTCAAGTTGGTCACATGGCTTCAGCGCATTCGTAGCGTTAAGGTCATTGCACACGGAGATTGAAATTTTCGTCCGAAATTTTCGCACGTTGAAAAATAAATACGACCTCACGCTGTCAATCACGTTTACACACTGCCTTCGAAACTTTGATAAAAATCATAAAAATAAAATTTGCATCCGGTTAAATGTTCTGCGTTTTTCGAATCCGTAGCAAGCGTTTTGAGGGATGTTTTGACAATTCAGAGCCTCCATACAAGCGAACGCCAAAATCCAGAATGGCGATTGTGAAGTTCATCCACTTCGTCTCGCAGCACAAAGCACTGTAAAGATCCTTGCACACAAAGTTCACAGAAATTGGTGGTCTTTTTAATATGTGGCTCTAGTATCGTTAGCAAAGCATTAAACTGAGCCACTGACATCCTGAAATTAACTTTGAATCACCCAAGATAATCCTGCTGCTCCTTAAGGAGGGGGGAACTCTTCCTCTCTATATCTCAGGATTGGATGGACCCAATATTTCCTTTCTTTTTCTCTTTTTAAGAAGCGAGAGGACAATAAAATCATCCTCCAGCTTGAAGTACTGCTTTGCGAATTTTTTATTTTTTTCCCCCAATTTTTTCCAGTCATTTCAATAGGAATCCATGTGATCAGGAATTTAATCTGAGGGAGAAATATTTCCCCTCATAAATTTCGCAACAGGTTTGTGTTGGTCACGCGGTAAATTCTCTGGCTTGGCAAAAAGATTTCCCCGAGCAGATTTTGCAACAGGTTCAAGTTGGTCACATGGAGTCGCAGAATACATTGACTTGGATTGAAATTTACTTTTTAGACTTTTTACAGGCAAAATCTACTGGCAAAATCCAGCAATTTAAATAGGAATTCATGCAAAGAGGAATATTGCATGAGGGCAAAATATTTCCCTTCAGATATTTCGCAACCGTTTCATATTGGTCACGCTGCTATTTTTCTGGATTAGTTTGAAAGTGGATTTTTGTGGGCAAAATCCAGTTATTTCAACAATTACACACGAAAGTTTGCAGTGATTTTGAGTTGGTCACATGGAATCACCACATTCATCTGCTTGGTTTAAAAGTGACTTTTTACAAAATCCAGTAATTTCAATAGGAATCCACGTAATGTACATTTTGCAGATTTTTGGCCACTACATTTTTTTCACTAACGGTGCATTCACACGGGGCGCCTGCGTTTCTAATTTACTTTAAATGGGTGACGTCATGAGTTGTCGAACTGAATTGTGGATCCGTTGCGTCGCGGGCACTGCTGTTGCTCATGGCAGAAACGGAAAAACTTTAAAATTTTCAAGCTCCAGCACAGGCGTCAGCCAATCAGATTGCATTACGCAAATACCCTAGCGCAGTCGCTAGCCAATTGCGTTCATGCAACACCAGAAAAGTAATGTGACTAGCTGTTGTCATTATGATGGTCGCGTCAGCACCAAGCTTCAGACACACCCTCGGGCAAGCTTTGACGCCCCATGTGAACATATCCGTAATGTGACTGTAACTTTAACTACGATCAGGACCCACCTGTTAGTATGTTTTTAAATGCCTCCTCCACATTTGTGGAGTCCAAAGCTGATGTTTCGATGAAGGAGAGATTGTTCTTCTCTGTATAACACAAGATGAAAGATAATTTAACACCTCAGGTAGATCTTTTCTCACTAAACATGAAAATGCAGGAGGAAATGCTTACCTGCAAAAGCTCTGGCCTCATCAGTGGGAACGGCCCTGAGGTGCCTCAAATCGCTCTTGTTGCCCACCAGCATGATGACAATGTTGTTATCCGCATGATCCCGCAGCTCCTTCAGCCAGCGCTCCACATTCTCATAAGTCAGATGCTTTGCGATGTCATAGACCAAAAGAGCTCCAACTGCACCCCGGTAGTATCTGTGAAAGAGACCCACGTAAAATATATACTAAAAATGTATATACTAGTGTTGTCAAAAGTACCGACCGCGATACCATTCAGTACTGAAATTTGAAAAACGTCCATCTCCCGCTAAGATTTGAGCACTGTTGAGTAGATTCTTAAACAGCATTGATTGGCCATAGTGTTCACACGCTCAAAAGATATGACTATGATTGGCTTCAATGACCATCGTTTCACACTAGGGCTGTCAATTTTTTAATTTCGAATATTCATCGAATAAAAAAAAATAAAAATAACACATTTGAATGCAAAAACGTTGCATTCGAATTTTAGGTCTGCGTCAGCCAGCCTTATCAGTGGCACACGAAATGCAATGTAAGTGTCATTGCATTTTAATGCTTTTGTTAGCCTATCCAGTTGAAGCCACTAGATGCGGCGCTGCTACGTTGTTCGTTCAATATATTGCGGAAAACGAGAGCATCAGTGTGGAGAAGATGTTGTTTATGGCGAAACTGAAACCAAGCCGTTCACACAGAACACATATTTATCACATTTGTCTAGAGGGACATCTATCAGCGTTGCACTCGCGTCTCGCACAAGAGAGCAGCATGTTTAGAAAGCCATGTAAAATTAATGCAAGTTAAACTTTTAAAAAACATGTCTCAAGACTATATGGCGGTTTTCCCCCATCCCACTGTATCGCATGTTTTTAAATGAAGAAAGTAGCCTACATTTGTGATTGTGATTTTCGGTCCTTTGTATTAAACTATACATGCATGCATGGTGCTGGGTTTTTTTTCTAATTAAGCAACTTTATTAATTATATATGGTTTATAAACATTATGCACTTTTTTTCAAATGTAGTAATTTAATTATGCTTTGAAGAAACGTGCATAATATTTAGCTTGATGCGCCCTCTTGTGGCCTCAGGAGAGAAGCCAAAAGCGTTTTCCCCCCTAACTGAAATTATGCCTTTTAAAGGGTTCATATGATGCTGCTGAAAAGAACATTATTTTGTGTATTTGGTCTAATGAAATGTGTTTATGTGGTTTAAAGTAAAAAAAACACATTATTTTTCACATACTGTACATTATTGTTTCTCCTCTATGCCCCGCCTTTTTGAAACACGTCGATTTTTACAAAGCTCATCGGTCTGAAAAGCGAGGTGTGCTGTGATTGGCCAGCTATCCAGTGCGTTGTGATTGGCCGAATACCTCAAGCGTGTGTCGGAAATGTTACGCCCCTCACCATACTGTGATGCCGTGTCCGGCCGGAGCGACGAGACAAAAACATTAAAACCCATTACAAACGAGGCATTCGTTGCATCCAGTGGGGACATAATTACTGATTATAATGACTTATACTGTCTTTTTATGCATTGCGTTGCATCGCGCCGCGTAAACATAAACCCCTGTCTGCATTTGTGATCGGAGAAAAGACAAACAACAAATGCTACTCTACTGCCCAAAACTCGCGTTTGAATCATCAGTGGCAAATCCTTTACATGAAAACGTACTTACAGAATGTGAGCCAGAACAGCCGGCATTGTAGTCTACTCTACCAGGATCAGTAAACAGTCCTCCATAAAATGTGCTGCACACATCTGGATTTGGGTTAAACTGTTCTGGAACAGTGTAGTAAATACAACTTAACCACTGATTTGTAGTCGTGTCCTCTTTTGGAAGACCAAACAAAGTAGTTTCACTTTCACAACGAAAAACACTAGCGTGAGAGAAAGCCGCGGCTTAGCGTGAGCTGTGGCCGGGCTAGAGTGAGCTGTGGCCGGGCTAGAATGAGCAAAGGCGGCGGGGTCGAGAACGGCGCACCCAGCGGATTCGACGAAGGAGCAGCAACCACATGTGATGACCCCGGGCTTCGTCCACGGTGAAAGCCGATCCGGTGATCCACAGCACTAAGTTGATGTATTCCCTCAGCGACCAGCACAGATCAGCTCTAGGCATGACGAAGCGGATATCGTCCTCTTTTGGAAGACCAAGCAAAGTAGTTTCGCTTTCACAACGAAGCACACAGCGTCTTCAGGACATGGCGGCAGCGGCAACAACACTACAGTGAGAATAAAAGTTAAGCCTTCTTTCTTTGCGTGAATATTTGGGCGGCGTTATGCAAATCTTCCCACATAGTGAGGTAGATATGTGGGGGCATGTTAGAATGAGCCGTTTTAGGTAGGCGTGGTTAACTCAACTTTTATAAAGAATATCTCTTTGGATTTGAGACTTTAGTATTTGCAACTTTACAGGTCTTCTTTATGCACCAAGAGCTTGTAACACGCCAAAGAGAAAGGAAAAATTGAAATCGCATCATATCACCCCTTTAAATTCGAATATAAAATATAATTTCCATTCATATTTAAATGGAAATTTGAATTTAGTTTTTCAGTCATTTTGACAGCCCTACTTCACACTGTTCACTGAACACTCACACAGAAACACACGGGACCATTTGAAAGCCACGTCTATCAGCGGATCGTCTATGTGCAGATATATTAGGGATCCGCTGACGATGACGGATCAGCTGATAGACGCAACGTTTTTAAAATTTCAGTACCGAATGGTATCACGGTCTGTACTTTTGACAACACTAGTATATAGTACAATAACATATTCATACAAGAGAGATAAATAAATTTTTTCTGACAGTGATTCAACCATGATTCTTTACTAAATGATGCAGTTGATTTTAAAAATAATGTATTATTTGTAATCAATTTTGATATTTTACATTAAGTATTATTATTAATTATACTGCAAGTATACTATACAGCGGTTAAAGCAAAATAAAATCCTGAGCCTGAACTTTTTTCTGGGGGCGGGGAGGGGCAACACACGCAAAGTATGCAATGACTGTGGCAACTTTAACATTTGAAAGGATACTATGGCAAAGTTATTGCTTTCTTTATTCAAACTGATTTTTTTTCATGAATATATGGTTGACCTGAAGAATGAAAGCTAGGCTATATCATACACTTGGAAAATTATGAGCTATATCACCGCTCATAGACACTAGGGGTATGAAAATACACTCACGAGACGAGACAAAATACAGATAACAGATAAAACGAGACAAATTTTTTATACTATTTTTAAGAAATTTTAAATGACAAAATATTTGTCTTAATTACAAAAAGTAAAACAATGCAGTTGCATTTAGAAATATTTTAACTAATCTAGGGCTGTAACTAATGATTATTTTGGTAATCAAGTAATCTACTGATTATTTTGACAACTGAGTAATCTGATATTTTTTTAGTAACAAACAGACCCAAGTGAAAACCAGGCTTTAGTATGACTATTTATATAAACTAACGATGAGGCAATAATAACTGGCTCAAATAAAATATCAAAACCAAGAAATTACAGGATTGTACTGAACAACACTGTTAAAATATATAATGTAATATGCCTATACATAATATGAACATAACCAACTTAAGTACATTATGTATTAAAACAAATACCTGCAGAGGGCGCCAACGGCCTGGTGACGTTTCACTTTACAGCATGATTAAACGATGTTTAAATCCATTTAATTTTAATATTTGGCCACATGCAGAAACTTTTATTTTGAAATCGCGATGTACAATACATGGCATATTTAGACATAAGTTGATGTATTCTCCTGTGTTGGCAAAGGTTTATAAACGATTTACGTTACAAATCTAGCGAGATAATGCACAGTTTTTCCAGATGAATGTTAAGCAATTCAAATTCACGGCATATGCAGAGGAAGAGTTTAGACCCTTTCACACAATACAGTCTTCACTGGTAAATTACCATTAATAGATCATGTGTGAACAGGACCTTTTCAAAAATCCCAGTAAATTTGTTCTGGCAATCATATCGTTTTATGGAGATGACATGATTACTCTGAGCTGTTTACAAGTTATTCTACAAAAATAAGAACAGTTATTCTATGTAAATATGCGCTAGATGGACATCTTTGACCATTGCGCCTCGCAGCTTTTTGTCGCACTTCTCCATTCATCAGGGCTGCGACTCCACAATTGGATACTATTATGCGCGTCTCGTGTTTACAAGAGCAAAACATTCTGATTGGCTAGTAATGTTAGTTTGGTTGAGAGTGAAAGCTGTGCTCCTCTCATACCATTGGTAGGCGAACTCATGAACTCAAAAGTGATATCAATCAACAAGATTTGTTTTTTTAAATGTAGGACTATTTTTTTTCTGCAGCCAAATGCTGCACGCCGGAGATCCGGCACAGTGCCGGAGAACTTTAAGCCCTGACTATAATTTAATTATTTTATCATTAACTAATATACTATTATGGGCCATACATCAAATAAATTATCAATAATTACTCTATGAAATCACTTATAGAATTATCAATTAAAAACTATTTTATTTTTAATTTACAGTATTATACTACTATATACTAGCATAGTTATAGTCCTATCCTCCTATTATTAAACAGAATTTAAATTATACTCCATATTAATTATATATTAATTAAAAATAATTTCACAATAATGCTAAAATTAATGTATTTAATTACCATGGATAAATAAAAAATTATGAGATTTAAATTCATTTTAATAATAATAATTTAATAAAATTACTTTCACATAATTTGTTTTAAAATCATTTTATTTTTAGTATACCTTTTAGTCACAGTATATTTTCTATATTATTTCTAAAAAGTAAATAAATAATCGTACTTTTAATAGATCTACTACAAATATACTATAAATAATTAACGTAAAATTATTTGATCAATAACTTTAACATTTTTTTATAGAATTATTATGATAAATCATGAAGATATGTGAACCCAATGGCCCATACAGACTGATGAGTGAGAATTAGTTGGCCCATAGAGATGATGGCTGAGAGTCAGACAGCCCACACAAAGGACATTCAATCTTGCGAATTGAGGACCCTACACGGGAGGTCCAAACAGTGCCATACTCTGGTATAAAATTTCGTCCCACACACAGAACTCTGGGTTAAGATTTAATTACTTCTCCATGTACTCACGCTGATGTGATGGCTCTGTAGCGTTCCTGTCCCGCTGTATCCCAAATCTGGGCCTTTATGGTCTTGCTGTCCACTTGGATGCTGCGGGTTGCGAACTCCACACCAATGGTGCTCTTGCTCTCCAGGTTGAACTCATTCCGAGTGAAACGGGACAACAGGTTACTCTTCCCCACACCAGAGTCTCCAATGAGCACCACTAGAAAACATAAGACTGCTTGAACAAGACAGCTGCACAGCTGCTCTTATAAAAACCATAGCCATAGGGAAGATATCATAGTCATCACCGCATGAAATGAAGGCCACAAAACAGAAACAATCTACCATGTGAGTCCTTGAAAGTAAACCACAAACCAAAGTGTGCACCCAAAGCGCATATACAATGTCATCATTTGAAAAGCAGAAACACACTAGATTAGTCAGCCATCCTGGTTACGTCCACATGACGAGGACATAGAGATAAGAGAGAAGCCGTAATCTACCAACACACACTTCCACTGTCATTTTCCCTTCGCTCCATCAATTTGACACCCTAAAAACTAAAATACAGGCCTAGCCAAATTATATAAGGGATGAGAAAGGCATAGAAAATATCAATCAGCTCATACTGTGTCCGTTGCAGTGTGGTCATCATTCATTTTCTCTAGAGGAACCCTGAAGTAATTCACAAAACGGTTGTTCTCCAGTATATCAACATCTAAAAATGGGTCAAAACTTTTAACAAGAAATCTCAAAAATAACCAAAGTGGCCCATCTGTAAAACCTCAACAGAAATCTATGGTTTTGTCACATACTGAAACTCTTTTTAAATGCACTGTGTAAAAACAGGAACTCGATGTGGGAAGGAACTTTGAAATATGTAACTTATAAATAATTAAACAATATAACTTTTAAATAATTACCGCACTAAAATGTTGTTGTTGGGCGACGGACCTCTCCTGATCAGCGATGTCCGATTCGTGAACGAACTGTTCTTAAGATCCGGATCTTTTAGTGATCGGTTGAACTGGTCCATGACCCAAAAACCGTATGTTTCGGAGAGAGTTGTTATTAATACAAATAAATGAAAACCTGCAAAAACGTTTGCAGCTTAGATTTGTAATAAAAGCAAATTTTGCATTATATGCATCTATTTTTTTTTTTACATAGAATATTCTTTAAATAAATATTTTGAATTTCCCTGTGCATTTTTGTTTATTTGTTGTTTAGGTATGACTGCATTAAAACAGCTAGTTATTTAGCTCACATTAGTTTGGAAGCTATCTAACGTTAGCTGCTTAGCTAACACAATGCGACCTACATACGCGAATTGCATTATCGTTCTCATACTGCAGTCATTAAACTCAATATTCAAATGCATTAATCTACTTTCATCTCTTGATTCTTCGAAAGACACCGGTTAATATGTCGATAGCAAACGCCAGTAAACTAGCATTCCAGCTAACCCAGCTAGCCACAGTCATCAGGAAACTTGCTGTTTTCGTTGATAATAAAGAAAAACTAAACACGTCTGTTCTTATTTTTGATACATTAAAAAACGTACCTTTAAATAAATAATCGTATTCGTCGTCGCGGGTTCCCATTGTTGGTTTACCGCACTAAAATGTTGTTGTTGGGCGACGGACCTCTCCTGATCAGCGATGTCCGATTCGTGAACGAACTGTTCTTATGAGCCGGATCTTTTAGTGATCGGTTGAACTGGTCCATGACCCAAAAACCGTATGTCTCGGAGAGAGTTGTTATTAATACAAATAAATGAAAACCTGCAAAAACGTTTGCAGCTTAGATTTGTAATAAAAGCAAATTTTGCATTATATGCATCTATTTTTTTTTTACATAGAATATTTTTTAAATAAATATTTTGAATTTCCCTGTGCAAACAAGGGTTCAGGCTACATGAGACAGGTAAGGTGCAACTTCTACCTGATCCGACCAATTAAAATACCTTCATTGTTTAACATCTCAAATATTTCTCCTAGACAGAAAATTAGGTTACTTTAAGATTGAATGGAGATTTTTGCTCAAGTCTGCTGCTTCTCAAACTTGTCTTCTGAGACAAAAACTCTAACCAGCTTTACAATGGTCTCCTTTAAAGTTTTTTAAGAGACCTCATCATCATCACACACTGTGCTCAGATTTTCTCCTTAAAGACGCTGGATCTCTCACATTTGTCTCCTTTAAAGTTTTAGAAGAGATCTCAACAACACCACACACATGTGCTCAGTCTTTTCTCCTACACTAAAGAGTCAGAAGCTCTCACATTTGTCTCCTCTACCAAGAGTGCAACGACGACTCATCCAAGAGGTCATAAAAGAGCCCAGAACAACATCTAAAGAACTGCAGGCCTCACTTGCCTCAATTAAGGTCAGTGTTCATGATTCAACAATAAGAAAGAGACTGGGCAAAAACGGCATCCATGGGAGAGTTCCAAGGCAAAAGCCACTGCTGACCAAAAAGAACACAAAGGCTCGTCTCACATTTGCCAAAAAATATCCTGATTATCCCCAAGACTTTTGGGCAAATATTCTGTGGACTGATGAGACAAAAGTTGACCATTTTGGAAGGTGTGTGTCCCGTTACATCTGGCGTAAAACCAACACAGCATTTCATAAAAAGAACATCATAGCAACAGTCAAACATGGTGGTGGTAGTGTGATGGTCTGGGGCTGCTTTGCAGCTTCAAGACCTGGACGACTTGCCATAATTGTGCAAAAACCATGAATTCAGTACTCTATCAGAAAATCCTGAAGGAGAATGTCCGGCCATCAGTTTGTGACCTTAAGCTCAAGCACACTTGGGTTATGCAGCAGGACAGTGATCCCAAACACACCAGCAAGTCCACCTCTGAATAACTCAAGAAAAACAAAATTGAGGTTTTGGAGTGGCCAAATCAAAGTCCGGACTTAAATCCGATTGAGATGCTGTGGCGTGACTTTAAACAGTCCATTCATGTTCGAAAACCCCCCAATGTGGCTGAATGAAAACAATTCTGCAAAGAAGAGTGGGCCAAAATTCCTCCACAGCGATGTGAAAGACTCATTGCCAGTTATCACAAACGCTTGATTACAGTTGTTGCTGCAAAGGGTGGCACAAGCAGTCATTTAGGGGGCAATTACTTTCTCACGTAGGACCAGGCAGGTTTGGACAGCTTTGATCCCTTAATAAATAAAATCATTATTTCGAAACTGCATTTTGTATTTACTCGGGTTATCTTTGTGTATTATTAAAATGTGTTTGATGATCTGAATCTTTTAAGTGACAAATAAGCACACAAAAAAAAACAGGAAGGGGGCAAAAACCTTTTCACAGCACTGTATAGAGGCCTACATTTTTTAACTGTGTTAAGTTAAATACTTATTTAGATTTGAGAAACAACTTTCATGATAGCATTATGATAAAATTGTGTTTTACAGAGCACTGACCAGAACAGCCAGGCACAAGAACAGTTTTTTCCCACAGGCTATATTCAGCCTGAACAATTAAACTTCATACATCGTCCATCACAACTGACATATTTATACACAGAATCCTAAATTTGTACACTTGTAAACGGCACACTTTGTAAATAACATATCTGCACACTTATAACATATTTACATTTAGTCATTTAGCAGACGCTTTTATCCAAAGCGACTTACAAATGAGGACAATAAAAGCAGTCAAAACTAACAAAAGAGCAACAATATATAACTGCAAATGACAAGTCTCGGTTAACGCGTAGAAGTGTGTATATATATATATATATATATATATATTATACACACACACACACACACACACACAAAGAAAAATAAGTAGATAGAATAGAAAAAATAGAAAGCTAGTTTTTGTTTGTTGTTTTTTTTTAAATAAAGAATAATTTTTTTTTTTAAAGATAAATATAGATAAAGTAGAATTAAAATAGAATAGAAAGTGTTAGAGTTAGAGGGTCAA